ATTTGTTTCTTCTGCGTGGGATGCAAGATCATCTGCAAAGCAAAAACCTTCAAGCAAGTCGTTGTTTGTATCCTGAATGTAAGCCCCTTTCAAATTTTCCAATAAGTTACTGTCCTCATCTTCATAGAGAGATCTGGTAACTTTTGACTGAAATTCGAAAAGTGAAAAGTGCTTTTGAGATTCACTTTGGAATTAGGCCACCTAAACTTCTGGTAGAGAAGGCTATGGGCATTGCCCCATCCCTGCTTCCCCCTCTTCCCACCCTGAAACCACAAGAATATTCTTGTGCCAGGTCTACGTATACATCCTTCCCAGGCTAGTCCGGATTTGCAGACTGGACTCGCGTTTCATCATTTCGTTTTGTTTTTCTTTCACAATTTTGATTTGCCTCCGATTCTTTCAATTTCTAATGCAGAAGGGCAAAGACGATGATATACTATTGGCTTCTGAAGGCTAGATTCAACTGGGAAGCTCTAGGCATAATCAATCCTTTCTGCATTTCCTACGGGAAAAAGTCTGCTTTATGCATCACGAGCACTTGTGTTTTTTTAGATTCGGTGGACGAACTGTGGCAATCTTCCTTTACGTATTTATCTGGAATAACTTCCGACTCATGGAACTCCCATGGGATTCCCCGTGGACATGGATTCTGTGCTTAATCTTTCAGGATCTGATGTACTACTGCGGCCATCGAGCTGTTCATGGTCAGCTGACTTTTTTTTATTTTGATGCTTTCCATTTTGCTTTGAAATTGAGCTTAGTGATACCTAAGTTACAGAACGCTGAGTAAGTAAGCCTACTTTTAACCTTTTGTACTCCTACTTTTTTTTATTTATTTTCTATTTCTCAGCTGCTAAGTTTTACTTCAGTCTCTAGGCTTGACTTTTCGATGTCTTTGATTGTTTTTTGGGGTTGACCTTGAAATATCGCACAGGAGAGTTTCATTTCAGAAGCAGGATTCTTCTGGGGACTTCATACTATCCACCACAGCTCGGAGTATTACAACCTTTCAACCGCCCTCCGACAGGCTGCTTTCCAAGATGCGGGTCTGGCTATTTACGATGTTCTACAGGTGCGTTTATCAGCTCCGTTTTCCTTTCTTTGGATCAGCTATTACTCCTTATGAGGGCGAGTCAAGCCAGACTGTTGATGCACGGTGCCTTGATCGTGTAGGGACCAAAGGCAACTTCCTGATTATTCCACGGCATTCAAGTAGACAATCAATCTCTTCCGATAGGGTTATTCTCTTGCTTACCTGTTTGGAAGGAGAAGAGCTCTGATTAGTGGAGAGAACCTGACAACGACTGGCGTCTAGATGTCAGGCCCTCCCTCCTTGCTAATGCTGTAGTTTTCCTCACAAAACTAATCAGTACAAGTAATGCATCCATTACTATGCAGTTGCACGGTAGCTAGTTCGCAGCAGTCGTTTTCAGAAATAGTAGAAAATGGTAAACCCTCAGTACTCTCGTTTCTATTCGCTCTTCTCAACCAAATACATAGCCATTTTCCTCAGTATTGTCCCTGTCAGCGATTCTGTGTATGTTGGTTAGACCCATGGAGAAGGTCTCTCTACCTTCTGAAACAACCAAATGAAACTGATTCAACAAATCGGGATCCAGCGTACATTCAATCACCGAAGAAATCAACTTGCGAGGGACGAGGATGGGCTCTATTCAGTCGTGGCTGAATCACCAGTGCAACCCGAACAGGCACACGAATGTGTTCAAGTAAAAGGAAGATATTTGTAGACTCCTCTATGTGACTGTGCAGGGATTTCTCTGTACAAAGCATCCTTCCAACCAAAACTTCTATTTGCAGGCCTTCTTCATACCACCACCAATATTTCTCGTGCATCGCTACTTCAGTGAAATCCTTCAGTTTGTCATGCATACCAGTGTAAGTCTGTTTGTT